TGAGAAGATTCAGCAGAGAGAGTGAGGAGCAGAACAGGCAGATCTACTGAAATATGCTGCTGAGGGGGAGCAGTGGGCGAGGCAGGAGAGGTCTGCTGCACCATGTGGGTTGTTCCCTGGCCTGCTGAGGATCAAACTGGGGAGCTGCAGTGGCTGGCAATAGCTTGATAGTGCTGTCTTTAACCCCTGTGCCACCAGGGAGGTCCCACACATGGGTACAGTTCTAAGAAAGTATAAGCAGGGCTGACAAGTCGTTAGCCCAAAATTGCACTTTGGAGGCATTGTATGTCTTCAGGAGCAGCCTGGCTTTTATAGTGCTGCCATTCTTGGGCTTCGGTGGAAAGCAGCTCTTGGGAAGCGTGAGATCAGGGTCTGGTAGGACACTTAGCGGCAGGTAGTCAGGCTTAGGTAGGAAGATGGGTATGGTCCACATCGACCCACAGAGGACTGCAGTTGATTTGAACCATACTTGCCTGCAGTAATGACATCATCCCCCAGAATTTGCCAAAACCTGTGCAAGACTTAGAGTAAGTACCTGTCTCATAAATATATATATATATGTAGATTCCCTAATTTTTCATGAGTCAGGTTTATTGAGTTATAATTTATAAACACTAAGGTTTACCCTGTGCGTGGCTAATGAATTTCAACAAATGCCTATTTTGTGTTTGACGTGCTGCTTGCCCTGAAATCATGAAACCCTCCTAAAAGGGGTCAAATGTTGTTGAGCAGCAAAAAGTAGGAAAATGGAAGCTGCTACATTGTAGTGATTCTTTGTGGGTACAAAAAAACCTCATCTCTAACTGGTAATATGCATATTATAAAGGAATGCCATCCACTGGTTATGGCCAAGAACATGTTGATCTGCCATTTGAAGTAAATGAAAATGCAAACAATAAAACACCAGAACTTGTACAGGAAGCAAGAAGTAGGAAATATGTCTGGATGTCACAGAGGCCTTGGGCTTCAATGGTAACTGTCATTGATATGTTTCAGAGACTCCCTTCCAGAACTGAAACTGCCTAAGGATATTGAGTTCACAACTCCAGAGAGTGGCTTCTAATTGCCCAGCAAAGGCAGACCAGCTCGGTATTGGTATAAGATACCAGTGTTGATGTACAACATTGACCAACTGCCCCCCTGGCCTGTTTCTGGATCTCCAGGCCCCAGTAATTGGACCTGGCTTATCCTCAACTCTCAAATGTAAAGGCTAGAATCACCCAGTAAATGACAATGCCCAGTGCAGCAATTTTCACTAAATATACTAAGAATATATACCATTAGTACCTGGTCTTTTAGTTAAGATCTTTAATAAAATGCACCTTATCTATCACTCTTGATGATTCAAAACATGTTTTTGACACGAGGCTTGAGAAACCCTTTGGAAACCATCATAAGCAACTTTGCACACTTTGACCATAAAAGCTTACCTTTTACATGTCACCTTAGATCTTGAGAGTTCAGAGCCACCTGCTGCTTTGGGACTGAGATCCAGTTGGGAGAGTGAGTGTCCTGCAGTAAGGCCAAGCCCTGGTCTGGCTCTGTCTTTGATTTCCTCAAGGATTCTTGTGTTTCATCAAAACAAACACCCTTCACTTCAACTCTCTTATGTTGTTCTCGTTTCATTTTTTTGTCACAAGTTTCCTGTTCAGTAACAATTTCCTTACCTTTGGTATTTGTGATCAGTTTTTCAGCTTCTGAATTTTCGTTTGGTTTTCTCAATGATTCTGCTCTCAAGCTTGCTGTATTATCTACTTTCAGGATTTCTGATTACTGTGACTTTGTTTAAAGCAAATAGCTAATTCATTTTGCTCCCTACTCTTATTACATTTCAAGGCCACTGTTTTCTCTTTAACAGGGCAACTGTTCCTTTCTATACACTAATAGGTCTGCACATCCTCATAAAGTTAGCTCTAGTCTATGTAACCCGAGAAGAAGCTGTTAAAAAAGACAGGATTCGATTTGCCAAAAGTTTTCTGTAATTTAAAAAAATTAAACCCAGCCTATAAGGAAAAGAGGGTCTATTGATTTGTAGTCTTAAAACTTAGTATAGTTTTTCTAATATTGTTTTTTGGGATAATTGTTAGTCATTTCTAAGTTTCTAAATCCTCGCTTCACTGGGTATATACTATTAGACTGGTCTACATCAAATCACTATATGAGTATTTTTGATCTATAGAAAAAAATAGTGATTGTTTCAATGTGACACAGAGAATTGCCCACAGGAGAAATACTCTAGTCAAAAATCAACACCTGGAAATCAGGGTGATTGTCTTCAATTTGTTGAAGCTATTGGAGCTGATATCTGAAACACCTGCCTGGGGCTATCTTGCTGGCTCAGTTTCTCTTCTGGTGGAAAGTCACATAAGCCTTATATTTAAGTTTTTCTGTGACTGCTGTAACACGTTACAATAAACAGGGTGGTTTAAAGCAACAACAATTAATTCTCTCACAATTGTAAAGTTTGCAATCAAGGTGTTGGTAGGGACGTGCTCCCTCCAAAGTCTCTAGGGAAGAATCTCCTGTCCTCCTCCAGCCGCCATGGCTGTTGACATTCCTTGACTTGTGGTCACATTTCTCTGTGGGGTCTAGGGGGTGTTCTCTGTCTCCCTATAAAGACATTTGTTATTGCATTTAGAGCCTATCAAGATAATCCAAAATCTCAAAACCTTTAGTCATATCTATAAAGCCTTGTTTTCCACATAAACATTCATTGGTTTCCAGGATTAGGATTTGGGTATCTTTGGGCAGTGGTGTGGTTTCGCTCTCATTGCTAATTTTCAAGAGTCAAGAAGGTATCTGCCTGTCTTTGTAGATCCTAGGACTGCACTAAGAAGTTTGTGTGTACCACTTCACCTGTATTTTATTAAGTCAGCCCATCCCAAAGGGCTGGATTGGTGAATATTCACCCAGCTGTTTTCAAGTGCTGTAACAAAATAGAAATAAATATATGAAGAAGGACAAGAAAACAGTTTTTTAAAGTTACTATTAAGATTGCCCTTATGCTTTCAATTCTGGGTGCATGTCTATTTCATGACTAAAATCTATTTTGAAAGGATTTGGAAAATCAAAAGAAGTCAGGAATAAGCAGAATGACTTGCCTCTAAAAGGACCTAGAGGGTGGTACAAGGGATTAAGATGCAACCTATAAAGCTATCTGCAGCCACTGCAGCACGAGTTCAATCCCCAGCCAGGGAGCTACCCACATGGTGCAGCAGACCTCTCCTGACTCACCCACTGCTCCCTCAGTAGTGTACTTTGGTCGATCTGCCTGTTCTGTTCCCTTGCTCTGTCTCTGGTGAATCCTCTCTCCCCCACCCCCAACTCTGGCCTGTGCCCCAGTTCTTGTATGTATAAATAATTTTTTTAAAAAAAAGAATAGTTTAAAAGGACCTAGAACCCACATTCCCCACTCTGACAAAGGCAGTGTTTCTGTGTTGCACAGACACAGGAAGTGGAAGGTTTTGAGGTGGGCAAATTCAACATCATAGTTTTTGCTGTTTCAGTCCTTTGCGTGGGCTGTAGAGGCATTATACCTGAAAAGGCAAATAAGAAAATTTAATTTTTACCCGCTCCCATTTAGTTTTCTTGTCTAATGCAATCTCCAATTAAAATGGATTGTTCTGGAAAGAAAAGCAACCACAGACTAGTACATTATCTTAATATGAATTTAATTTTGAGACTGATGTCTGAGATTTTGCTACAAAGAACAAAACCATTTTTTTCTAAGGAGATAGCACTAAATAAGAGAAAATTTTCTCCAGTTCTCAGAACTACATTCAAGTATCTGTGCACATCTGTTCGAAAAGAAGTGTCCTCTTTTTATTGAATTATGGCTTCTTTAGTATTCTGAAACAAGGGTGGGTCCAGCTTCTCTAAAATGGATGAAGAAATGTTAAGTCACATGACAGGGCCCTGGAGGGGGAAATGATTTTTTGCAATATACCAAATTTAAATTCTGCTTGTGCTGTTAAAACAAAAACGAGGGGGAAAGATAAAGAGAAAGCAAAGGCAAGTGGAAACAGTTTCCCGACTGCTGGCCTCAGGTTTTCAATTCCTTTTGGCCCCCTCAGCTTTGACTTCATCCCCATATTTAGATCTATGAAGTGCAAACAGAATGAGAAGTCTGTGGGGCCCATTGACATCCACCAGGGAGTATAATTTGTTGGAAAATGACATGTAAAAGACTTTCATTATTAAATTCCAGCTTGGAATTTAGCTTAGCAAAAAGCTATTTGTGCAGGGACCACCAGAGATAGATGCCTCTCGGCCTCAGGACAGCCATGTTTTTGCCTGAGTCTGGAGATCCTGCTTGGGGGCTCCCCACTCTGCATCCTTCACGCTGGGACTCCCCAATGCTCGGCGCCCCCAGGCAGAAAACAGGGCGTCCAGGCTTGTTCCACAGCCGGCTCAGCCTCTTCCCGCCGCCTGCCCGGCTCGGCGAGGCGCGGGCGCTGCTCTGAGACACCATGGACAGCTCTTCGGGCGCCGCCGGCCGCGCCCGCCCCGCGCCCACCCGGACGGCGGGGGCGGCAGGGGGTGGTCCCGACGCCCAAGTTGGGCACGACCAGTACCCGGTCCCGACGCCCTTCCCGGAGCCCCTCCCTGGCGCCCGCGGGAGGGCGGGGGAGCGCCGAGGAGCCCGCGCGAGGGGCCGGCGCGGCGAGTCCCCCTGCCCCGCAGCCCCCGCAGGGGGCCCGGCCGCCGCCCCGGGGCCCGCGGCCCAGCAGGGTCCCGCCGGGGGCCGCGGGGGCCGCCGGGTGGGCGGGGCCGCCGGCGCACGCCCCGCCCCCTCCCGCGAGGGCGGCCCCGCCCCCGCGCGGCGCAATGCGGAAGCGCTGGGCCTGCTGGGGCGGAAGTGACGGCGCGGGCGGCGGCGCCGGCTGCGGGAGCCGGAGGAGGAGGGGCCGGCGGGGGCGAGCCAGCCGCGGGGGCGGGAGCGGCGCGGCCAGACCCTCGGCGGCCGGGCGCGCGGGCGGCGCTTCCCAGGCGGGCTCCGCCGCCGCAGCCGGGCGAGCTCGGTGAGGGGCGGCCGCGGCTCGGGGTGACAGCGCCGTCAGCCGCCGCGCGGGTCGGGGCGCGGCGCGGGGCTCCGGGCGCTGCGCGGGGCAGCGGCCGCCGCGGTCTCCGCCCCCGGGAAGGGCCGCGCTCCGGGGCGCTCGGCTCCCGGGACCCCGCGGAGCCCGGGGCGGCCGCTCGCGGGGACGCTCCCGCCGGCTGCCCCGCGGCGCCCGCCCGGAGTCTGCGGCGCGGGGTCCGAGCCCGGCCCCGAGCCCGGCCCGCCCGAGCCCCGGGCAGCGGCGGGAAGTTTCCGAGTCGGTCCCTCCCGCGGCGACGCACCCGGGCGGGAGCCGGCGAGCAGCCCGGCCCGGGGCTCGGGGTCCCCGGGCCCCCGGGAGCGCGGGCGCGCGGGGCTCGGGCGCCGGGGACGGCGGGGGTCCGCTCTGCCTCCAGGGAATTAAGTGACGCCTCATCTTTCTGGAATAAACCATCCTCTGCCGGAACTCCCTCCTCCTCCCCCTGCCCCCCGCACCCCAAACCCGGCGGGGAGCGCCCCGGGAGGCCTCGGGCCCCGCAGGAGGACGCGCGCTCACCGTCGGGCTCTCGTGTCCGCAGGGCCCTGCGAGGCGAGCAGGATGGCGTTCAGCAAGGGGTTCCGCGTTCACCACAAGCTGGACCCGCCGCCCTTCAGCCTCATCGTGGAGACGCGGCACAAGGAGGAATGTCTCATGTTCGAGTCCGGGGCCGTGGCCGTGCTCTGTAAGTGCCCTGCAGCCCGGCTGGCCGCGGGCTCTGCATTTGAGATACTCCACATTCAGCCTTTTTCAGCAAAAATCCTGACCCCCCCCCCCACCGCCTTACTGTGCTTTCATCTTGTTTTCATCAAACGTGTTTTTTTCTTCTCCCTGGTGTGAGCTATGGTAGGCCGAGGGGGAGAGTCAGGTGTGGGTGACAGGTTTGTGCTTTTATGTGTTCTGCTGCCACTTCTAGAAGTAAATCTTTCCCAAGAAATACTGTAATTTTTATTGCATCACCTAAACCTGTAAAATGGTCTGCTTTGGTGTTTTGACCGTAGAGAACAGAATTTCTTGTAGGTCAGTTATACTAACAGTCTGTGAAAGTATTTATCTCATCTTAATGACGTCTCTTAATAGTGTGGACCTTATGTTTTCAGTAAGAGAATTGGAAACAACTTCTTAAATTTTGTGTGAGGTGTCTCACTTATTTTATTTGCTTATTTGAAATTATGTTCGGGGAGGTAAAGTTGACTTACAACACTGTGTATGTTTAAAGGGTGTGCGTTCTCACATCGGGTCCACCACCAGATCACCAGTAATCCTCTTCCATTGGCCTCTATGCCCCCTCCCTCTTTTGACCCCCATCTTTCACCCTCTGGTATCCCCAGTTCTGCTGTCAGATTTCAAGGGTTTGTTTTGGTTTGGTTTTACTGCTCCCTTTCTTTGTTTTTTATGTTCTCCATGCTTCATACTATTTTAAAAATCATTTTGATAGTCTTTTAAAGAAAAGGACCACTGTACCACAAGGAAAATAGTAAACAGATAAGGTTTGTGTTATTTTGTGGGCAGACTGATGAAACTGAACCTAAAAAGATTGGTTTGAATATTACATTTTTTCTTAATACAAGATCGTTGACAGATAACTCAGGTATCTGGAGTTATTTTGTGTGTCAACATAAATGTGATTGTTTTTTTGGAGACTTTGTAATGATAACTGCTTGCTCTTTATCATGTTTTTGCTATGTTAAGATCAGTTTAGTTACTCATCATATTTTTACAAATTAAAAATAATGTTTGATTGAATACTTACAGATATAAGCCCCAAATATTTTAAACTGGAAAATTTACTCCAGATCCAATAAGTAAAAAGCATAAAGACCCTAATCTTTGCATGTAGACTGTTAATATCTGTTAGTGTTTACCTGATCTTAATACTCTAAAATAGTAAAATTTTGTACTGACATAAAGAAAAGTGTTAAAGAACAGTGTATAAGATATACATATTTTTGGTACATAGGGTAACATGGTTTGAGCAGGAAGGGACTGAATTTGCTCTAGAAAGCAAGTATTACTGATAGGGTTTTACTCAACCAGTATGCACATAATTTATTGAAACTTTTTTATACTCAAGGTACAATATAATATGCTACAATATAATTTGCATAGCAGATATTTTTATACCAAAAATATAATTCGTATGCTGATGAATTCTTTTTTTTATCAGAAACGTAGATTTTTTTTAAAGATTTATTTATGCGTACAAGAACTGGGGTACAAGTCAAAAGTACGGGGGGGGTGAGAGGACTCACCAGAGAGAGTGGGGAGCAGAACAGGCAGATCTACTGAAATACACTGCTGAGGGGAGCAGCAGGCAAGACAGGAGAGGTCTATTGCACCATGTGCGTAGTTCCGTGGCAGGCCAGGGGATCAAACTCGTGCTGCAGAGGTTGTGGATTACTTCATAGTGCTGTGCTTAACTCCTTGCACCACCAGGGAAGCCCTGCTGATGAATTCTTGATTAAAAATATCTGGGGAAAAAGGTTTGGTTTATATGTGAAATATTTTTCAGCTCTTTGTGTGTTTTTGTGATATCACCTGATTTCCTAATTTGGCTAAGTTCTAAATGTTTCTCAAATCATAATTTTGGAAATAATGAGAATTCAACTTTTTATCTGCAAAATATGCATTATCTATAGTTCTTAGGATTATTGCTATGTTTTACTCCAAGGTCAGAAGCCTGTGATTAAAGACAAAGGTACTTAAACCATCCATTTTGACATTAACGTTCATCTTAAGGAAAAAGAATATTAAGAATGTTGCTTTAAGTATTTGCAGTTTTTATCTTCATTAGCTTTAGACTATGTAAGTAATTCAGAAGAAACTTTAAATATTGCTTCTCTGTAAAGCTAGCACAGTGCATGTATAACCTCTTGGCTGTATTATTAGCTTTCTTACTATAAACCTTACGGTACTACTTAAAGTATTAATATTTAAGAGCAAACAGACCTTTTTGTAAATCATGGGACTTAGAAATTTAATTTGACATTCAGTTTGGAGTGATGCCAAGATATACATTGCAGAGTGTTCATTTTTAAAAACTTGACATTTTAAACATGTCTGTCTTGTGCAGGGAACTGTACTTGGAAAATACCAAAGTGTTCTTGTTTTCATCAATCCCAGTTTCAGTGCATCTTGCATTTTTACCTACTAGAAGAATCTTCTAAAATTATTTTTGATATTAAACCAAACTGTAACCCCATTTTTTCAGTAAGGTTAAGTTCAGATCCCTTAACCTGTCTATCAAGACATTCCATAATTTGACCCCTCCCTGCTTGTCCAGTATTGATTTCTTTTAGGGAGACTCTGGTGTTTCCTCAGTGCTATCCCAAATTACCAAGCTTTTCCCAGCTTAGCACTTGGCGTTCCTTATGCCTCCTTCCTTGGATTGCTAGAATGCTTTTCTCGAGGTTTCAAATCCAAGTCTCTCAGGCTCTGCTCTCCTTCCTCCTTAAGAACTGCCCCACCCACACACTCCAGCTCACTCTTGTCTCTTCTTTCCCTTGATTTCTTTAGAGCTTAATCTGTGTGACAAGGTGAACACTTGATATGCTGTTTTTTGTACTCTCTGTGCATCATGTAGATGTTTTTCTGGAAGGTAGATGGTGAAAATGACCTATCAGGACTCAGTCTTCATTACCCAAAATTTATGATTTCTGCAAGCTCCATTGCCCTGACTTTATAAAGTTTAAAAAATTAGACTTCTTAGGCAACACATATCTTTGAGGATTGGCAATTACTTAATTTTCTTGGCTTATGCACAGAAATACCATGAGCTACTTCACATGAAATGTTCCCTCTCATTTTATTAGCACAAATAAAAAAAAATTAAGGTCCAAATGAAAATTCTATGAAAATAATCTCAGACCATGGATCCTCTTGGGGATAAAGTATCCACTCACCCAGCCTTAGAACCCTGTCTTTCTCTTGATCTTATTCTGAGCTTAAATCAGTCATGGTGCTGTGCCTTAATCAATCAGTGAAGCAGTTTTCAGCCCGAACTGCACATTATAATCACCTGGGGAGGTTTTACAAATACTGGTTGCTGGGGCTGCAGCACCTCCAGAGATTCTGATATAATTAGATTGGTGTGATCATTTATGAATATAGTTTGATAGGCCTTTCTAAGACAAATTATGTGATAACTTTTTTGGCTTGCAAATTTTATCTAGAAGAATCATGTCCCCCGAATTTTAATGCTATTTTTGACTCGTATGGGGCTGTTAATAAGTTTACTTAAAACCATCAGCCTGAACCAAGTGCTGATGTTCCCATAGCACTTATAGTCTAATGCTTTCATGCTCCCTGGAGCTGTGTTCAGGTTTCTGTGTCTGGATATAGTAGTCCTTGAGCAAAAGACCGACATCTTAATGACCTTTGTATCCCTAGTGCTTAGTGTAGCGTTTTGCTCATACTTGCAGAAGAAATAGTTATTAAATATGTGGCATAGAAGGAAAGACCAACCTAAACTAGATCAAAAAGTTGACAAAAAGGCAGTATTCTATGTTTGAAAGTACAGTACCTGTTCCTGTGCAGTTTTTTTTCTGTCTTGTAAAGAATTGCTATTTGACTAAATAACGTATAAAAGACCTATATTATACATTTTTGGATTTGTTACTGAAAAATCCTATTGAAAATAACTATTAACCACATTATTAAGGTTTTTCTGAAATGCCAGTTGAAAATGTGTATAATGAATACTATATCTGACTTGTTTTAAATTTTGCTTAAAATAATTGTTTTATTTCATTGCATTTGTTTTTTAAAAAAAAACCCTCTGAAATGTTCTTATTCTTAGATAATAATTTATTTTTTAGTAATGTGCTCATTTTTAGTGTCACTCATTTTTGACAATTATCCGTCCAGAAAGATGTTCAGTTGAATTTAAATGTGATGTCTGTGGCCCAGTGGAGCCATGAACTCTTGTCTAGTGTACTGTTTGGACCAGTGTAAGCAGCAAGAGTGATGATCACAAAGCAAGTTATAGCACTCCTTATTTTTCTTGGAAACTAATTTATTAAAAGATAAAAGAAAACATCAGTTTTGTGCAGGTTTGGTTTTCCTAGTTTTTCTAGTTACACGTCTGAAAAGACCATAATAGGGGAAGAACAAGTAGCCTGGTCAGACATATGCATGCATTGAATTCATAGGCTCCCTCATTATTTCATAGCCCCACTCATGTTTCAGTAAAGGTGAAGAATTTATAATTGTATTCTAAATAGAAGATGAAGTAAAGAGAAGATCAACACATGGGAAATGAAAGGTGGGTCTGACAACTGGCTAATAGGTGGGAATGTGAGGTGGTGATAGAAATTCCTCGCTCTTTTGCTCTCTTTGATGTCACATACTTGTAAGATAATAAGGATTGACTTTTTTATGACTAGTGGTAAGATTATGTTCAGGTTTTCCAAGTAGCATGATTTGATTCAAATTGGGACTGAAATCGTGCATTTATGTAGACGGTAAGGTTGTATCACTCACTCTCACTCTAGTTTTACCCAAGTTGTCCATCTGAGTTTTTTATTGTCCACTTGTTTTTCTTTTGTCATGGCAATATAATTTGTAAAGCTATAGGACTGTTTTCTGGAGCTCTTTGTCACAGAAGTGAAGTATTCTATATGAACTTGCCCTTTAAAGGAATAGTTGTAATGAAATAATAGTCACCTTTTACTAGAAACTACCTTT